AACACGCCTGGCACATGTAAGCCCCAACAAGATGAGAACTGGAAGAGAAGGAATTATGGTATGACCATGGCCCCATCAGGGATGCTTTCTCCTCCCCCTCTCTCTGTCTCTCTCTGGCATGAGCTTGAGCCCTCTGGCAAAATAATAATCAACAATTTGAATTACTTAGAGAGAATGAATGGTAGAGAAGACACAAGAAAGATTTGGCATGAGGTTATTAGGTTTGTTTCACCCGTCTATTGTCAATACAAACCAACAAGCAAGCACAGCCTAGCTGTTCATGAAGGGCCCACACAGGCAGTGTCTTCTCCATCTTAGATGTTCCGGTTCCTTTCGGAAATTTTCAACCTGTTTTCTCCAAACTACCTTCAGACTGCTTCGGTTTCTACTAGTCAATGCCTAGCAGGGTGACTCAAAACCAGGAAAATAAATCTGTCCTTCAATACTTACCACTTACTCTTCTTTGGATCACTAGCTTTTGGGAGTATATTAGGCTTGAGGGCATGGGCTAGGTCACACCTATCATTGCCATTCCCCATCATGCTGATGACCAAGAAGGCACTTAAGGGTTGGGGTGCTGGACTCCCACAGGACTGACCATGGATCAAGTCCCAGATGTGGCAGCTTGCTTTCCCACTTTCTCTCTCTCTCTCTGTGTCTCTATCTGCTCAAATGAAAATAAATGAATAAATAAGTAAATAACAATGATGAGTAAAATTAAATAAAACAATTCTTTAAAAAAAGCTACTTAAGTATTTGATAGAGTAACAGTCATTGATTAGGTAGCAGTGCCATTTTGTTCTTATAGAATGGTTTTCATAATATTATAATTGTCATTATCTTCTTTGAATCATTATCAGAATGCTTGGAGACCCCTATGTCCAGGCAGTTTGGACAATGTGTTTGACTAGTTTCACTGAATTATTTTAATAGAATGGAAGCCTAGTCCATGACTATTGAACTCCACTGCCCTCTACTGTTCGTATAGTGAAGTAACATCCAGCATTGTGCTTCCTGCTATGTTCTATTTTTTACAGTCGAGTTTTTGTCTTTTTCAGCTCTCAAGGTTTCTCCATGCTTGAGCTTCAACTCACGGTATATCTAATTTTCTAATAGTTTTTGGTGTTCATTACAACAACCCAGCAGATACTGACCAATTTCTCTCATAGGAAAAAAGTTTATGGCTTTAAAGCATACTAGACATTGTTTTACTTCGTGACATGGTCTTTTCATAAGCTATTTTCTCCCACCTCTAGGGTATGTCATTAAATTAGACATCTATCTTGGTCATCCTCTATTCAGAGTATAAACTTACTCATCTTTCAATGTCTTGCTTTCAAATGACATCTTCTCTGTAAACCTTTCCCCAGCCTTCATTCTAGAATTCTTCCTTCTACAACTGGTAACTGTTACAACAAAACACTCAAAGGAAGACAAAAATTCCAAATACCTTTATAAATAATTTCCCTCATCCTCCTTTCTCTGTCAGTTCCTGTATTTCTTTTGCAGCCAAATAAACTAAACTGGACTCTCACCTGTAACAATCCTATAGAGTATGGTTTGAAGAAGGGAACATTTTGGGCCAGCAGACGGCATGGAGGTTAAGGCAGCTGGATCCCGTGTGATTGACTACTCAGTTTGAATCCCAAACCCGGTGACTTAAAAATCACACCAGGCGCATGTGCATGCATGCTCCAAATACAAAAGGAGGATGGAGGAGAAGGGATTGCAGGGCCCAGAGACCCCCTTGAATATACTGGCCACATGTGTGTCCATGATCTGTCCAAATATCCTTTACTGGAAAAGTCCTGGGAAGGTGGGACAAAAAGGGACTCCTCTCGTCTTGAGATGACTATTTTCTCCCTGTGTCTTTACACGGTCATCCCTCTGTGTGTCTGTGTCCTACTTTTCTCTTATTTTCCAATGCTACTAGTGTAAGGGCACTGGTCATATTGGATTAGGGTCCATACTATGACTTTATTTAACTTAATTAGTTCTTTAAAGACCCTCTCTCCCAATGTAGTTGCACTCTGAGGTACTGCTCATCAATGGCACACACAGGCAGTGTCTACTCCATCTTAGATATTCCTGTTACTTTTGGCAATTTTCAACCTGCCTTCTTCAAACTACCTTTGGACTGCCTCAGTTTCTACTGTTGATGTCTAACAGTGATGACACAAAACCAAGGACACAAAAACCTCCCACATTTCCACCTCCATGAGTTCTCACTTTCCCTCTTTCTTTCTCTTCCGGTTTGTCTCTGGTGAGTGCACACATCCTATGGCAAAGATTCTAAAAATAAAAATAAAGAAAAGGGAACATTTTTAGGAATGACAAGGACAAAAGTGTTGGGTTATCTGATGAGGTTGAAATAACTTACTTTGTTTTTGAATACTGTTAGGTTTTGACCAACCAGCTGTTCTTAGGTACTAGATCGAGGGTTTCAAAGGTTAATGAGGTGACAAGAGACCGGACTCCTATTCTAGCAGAGGAATGTCAGTTTAAACGGATGCACGCCTGGGGAAAGCAAGGAGAAACTGAATACATTTCTGGCGTAATTGAAACAGTAGTCAAGCTGAACTGCATTAACGGGGATGCCTTGCGGTGGTGACCACTGTTGGAGTCCATAGTGCTAGACTGAAGTCTACACCCTGCTACAGACTAGCTAATTGGCTTCTAGCAAGTCACTTGGCTTTCCTCGTGGGTGAGAATTACTCACTTCCTCGTTTGTGTATGGCATTTACATCCACCTAGGTCCCTCTTAGGCTTTCCCCCTTTCTTACTCAAGGTCACATCGCCACGGTGCAGCGCTCTGGAAAGTCTGCTGCCTCGTCCCTCCCTTACGCCGGACGGTTTCCCTGGGGTCACAACCTGATTCGATCCCATACTTGTCATCTCTTCAAGGGAAATGCATGAAAATCGCCACAATTTACAGCAGTCTCAAGGGCTCTCTGAAGAGCCCTTGGAGACAAAAGAGGGATCTCGGCTGGTCCCATCTTCCCGGCGCTTTTCCAGTAAAGAATTATTTGGAGATGGCGAGAGTGCACGAAAGTAAAAAATAAAAAACTTTCCTGTGGTAGGAATACAAATCTTCTGGTCTCGCTGTTTCCGGGGGAATTTCCAGCGGAACTAGGAGGGACCAGCTTCCGGGTACGACTTCCTTGCCTCCCGTGTTTGAAGCTCCGCTGCTTCCGCCCGGAGTTGCTCTAGGCTCCGGCTGAGAGCAGCTACTTCCGCCAGCAGTCCCAAGCGGCTCGGGCTTGGAAGCTGGCTCTCAGGCGGCTTTACCCTTCTCCTCTGAGTCCGTCCACCTGAGGCCGGGTGTCCTGGTGGCGGCGGCCCCTGCTG